AAAATGTTTATAAGACCTGGGCGCAACTATAGAACCAAGTGAGCGAAATTTGGAAATATTTGAATGACAATAGAAACAACTCCCAGAGCGACGTTTTCAAAGAGTGAAAAGCTGCAAACTATTCTTGTGACAACATATTTTTTTCCAGTAATTAACCTTTGAATTTTTGAAATCTGTTCGTTTTAACATTTAAGCTGCGAAATTTTGGAATAGTCCTTAACAGAAAATCAAATGTCTACTCCTCTAAAAAAAAATCGTTTCCGGTCAATATATTTTAATTAATTAATGTTTTCTTCTTATTTAAAATTAGCCGGAGATTTCATTTGTTTCCACAGAGTTGGATTGAGGTGACAGGACTCAGTTGACAGTTTCTGTGCTTTGGCGGATAATTACTTCCAACAAAACGAATCACAACGATTTCGTTTCAACTTGCTTATCAAAACAGATTTTCCTGAACTTTAACTTTTTCGTGATTCTTTTAAAGTAAAGGATCCTTAAACTTGCTATAGTGCTGACAAATGGACAAACAGTGCAAAATAGAAAAAAAAACACAGGAGTAACTTATCTAAAATTTATAATGAATTTCCAAACCGATTTGTGTGCAAGTAGAATCGTCGATTGTTTTGGAACAAACGCTCTCTCTGGTTTCAGCCACAATACTTGACAAGACTATTAGTTATTTGCAGAACATTAATTTAAAACTTATCTGAAATTAAAAAAAAAGAACTCTAAGGTTATGCATTTTTGGAGCAAAATATTTGAAGTAAACCTCAAGAGATTGAACACTTACTTAATTGGGCTCCAAGGTTTAATATTTAAATGTTTGAAAAAAAACGTTTTTCAGAAAAAAATTCAGATGTCTAAATTTTTTTAATTTCAATTTTTATTTTGAGCATAATGAAGTTGGAATCAGCCTCAAGCGCGAAGATCTCTAACCACTAGGCTCCAAATGTTATTGAAGTGATTAAAAGATTTCTGATTTTGAAAAGAATATAAGAAAATTGAATTTCTCGTATATAAAGAAAAGAAGGATGTAAAAAACTGAAGTTGTAAACTTTTT